TCACTCAGATTTTTTGACAAGGAAGTCAAATGCAAACACCATTCTGTTTTTGGGAGCCCATGTCTCAATACGCAAGGCAAACTATTTAACATAATTTGTTTGTCTCTGCGGGAAATGACTTGGGATGATTCTAATAAGGTCTCAGTAGATGCAGTTTAAAAAGTTGGTGCCTGACAAACTGCAATGACGTAACTTGGCAGGAGAGTTTAAGTGTGTTTAAATTGGCTCCACTGTGCATCGTTAGGATCTCAAGCTTTCTCTCCTGGAAATTAGCAGCTCTCCGAGCATACAGCCAGGTTTGATTATGGCTCTAATCTAAGCGGAAGTGAGAGACTGTCTCGAAGGAAAAATGTCCTGTGAAAACTAGAAGGATTTCTACAGTGCTTTTGTTCAATCCCAAGAAAAGGGAGGGGATCCTTGCCTAACCCATTGAATTGCAAGATTACAGGTCAAGCAGAGGTAGCTGCGTGCCCCTGTTAGGGGCTGGCTTTAAAACTGCTTGGACCGGGCTGTTTTCAATACTTCTCCACTTTTCTAAACTCAGAAATGGTTCTTGAGGAAGATGAGGCCAATTCAGAGCTGTCCCCGTCCCCTCCAGCTGCCTAGGGCTCCTGTCCTGCAGATCTTTTCAGGGGGCTCCTTCTTCCCAGATCCTGGCCAATATGAGTCAACGTCCTGAATAGACTCCCAAATTCTGAATTTAATTTTAGAAGAGATGACATTGTCAGAGTGTGCCGTTGCACACCTGCAATGTGAATTCCAGTGTGGGATTATTCCCTTGTGAAGTGTGAAGATGGGAGAATTCCCTCCAAGGACGTTTTCCCTCTATCAGAAACATGAATGGCCAGCAGAGAAAAAGGACCATTTTCGTCTTCACGATTTTGTCTTCAGGCAGCAGCTGAGTCTGTCATCAGTCTTGGGTCACAGTAAGCGTTACTAGCTGGAGACCTGACAAATCTTATTAATCCCGCCGTTAGACAAAGTGATTTGATTTTGACGTATCTTAGGGATGGTCCTGCCATGAAAAAGATTCGTAATGGAGTTTCCACTGTACTACATATAACCAGCATCTTAGGTATACGGGACAGTAGTGTCTGGGGGAGTTACACCATCCAAGTAACTCCAGACTGCTTCGAGGCATTACAAGGTGAGGAAAACTACCTGTGAAAATTGATTTTTACCTTGAGGCAGAATAACACCTTTTCTACAAGCACTATCATGTATAGGCATTTGATCATAAGGCTATTTTATTCCCTGAGCAATATTTCAGAATTGCTGCAAATTCTGCCCATGTATTGAGTATTTCAGTGTCCAGTTCATGCAGAGGCTAGTAAGGCTAGTCTTACAAAACATTTATGTAAAATTCACTAGGCCTTGCCAAGCATATGGCAAATAAAGCTGACTAAAATAATTTTATGACCCAGGCATGGCTGAGGAATCTCTTGGTAATTGCTGATGGCTTACTTGAGAGCTTAAAGACTACATCAGCATGTGGTTCATGTTAGTGCCTGTGAACTACACATGCCACTATAATCTTGGGGGTCAGTAATATCATTTGCTAGCCTAGTTATTTGTAGTCTTGGGCTAACAACTTCACTAATGACTTCACTAAATGGAAAGCCTGATCAGAGTAGGTTAATAGCATATCTCACGTACTGTCCTGTGCTTCTACTTCAAATAACCTAATTCAACTAAGAGTATCCCTGCAGTGGCATGAGCAGCACATCTGAGGACCAAATGTGGAATTGAGACAGCAGCCCAAAGTGCTCTTGATGGTGCTGGTTGACTGCCACTTAGACAGGCCATAGCAGACATGCTAAAAAAAGTGTTTCAGATATGATGTGAAACTCTCCTTAAAGGGGTCTATACTCATACACATTACTTATACCACTGCTTTTTACAAGTCTGCCTTTTGGCGAGTTAGCAGGCTACCATATGTACATCATGCTGGTGGCTAGCAAAGAATAGTTGAGCAGAATATCAGGCAATGTTGTACTAAGGATAGATTATCAACCCTGGACTTTAAACATAAGGCCTGACATTTTAAATCCCAGGAAGTAGTAAATAGCCCACACTTAGGTAGGAGGCCCTTTTTTTGTGGCCGGTACTTAGACATCATCGCTTGACTGCTGGTACCACAATGTTCTTTGGCGCCTTGTACCGCGTCCAGATTTTGCATTGCAATATCGCCCTCCAGTGGCTCTGCGACGGAAAGATGGGTACCTGCGAAGAGCTTTCAGTTAGTGGAAGTGGCATTATGCCAGTTTAGGAGGATGAAAGAGCACAGTTTTAGTTTTGCTCAAAGGTACGGATGCAATTGATCTTCGGTGTACATATTGCCAACCTCTGGGTTTATTACAAAATGATTAGCTCCATTCTTTGTTGCAAAACTTCACCAGAAGTATGATGTCTGATGATCCTAGGGCTGACTGCAGTACACAAAGGCAGACTGGGACAACGCAAACTTCTTCCAGCCAAAGGTCTATACAACCATTGCAGGATAGGCCTGTGCTTTGTAATCCTTGGAGAGCTCCTTTTTATCTTGTGATGTACAAAATTAAGATTCCTGTGTATGAGTCCCACGCTGCAAAGACTGTGAACAGGCTTTAAGAATGATTGACAAACAATATAATTCATGTTACTATTGTAGAAGTTATGGGCAGGTAATACTGGAAAAGAAACAGATCAGCCACTCTGTACATCACATGGAAAGTGGTGCTTCAATAACTGAATGCATGGATGCTTTCTGGAATGAGGAAAATTGTTTTTTGCTCTTCAAGGTAATGCTGGTAACTTATGTTCATTCTTACACCAGGGTACACATCTGTTTCAATTCGTGCATGGCTTTCACAAGCTGTTTATCTTAAGTCATTGCTGAAGGGGCTATACATAGTTAAAAGATTGCTCCTATACAGGAATCAGAGATGGCCCATAAAATCCACGTGGCAGGTGTTTGTGCTGGCACATGATGCTGTGATACCTACCCTGTAGTGCTCCACAGCTGCCCCACTGCTGTCGTTTAGGTTCTGCCCTCTACTCTACAAAGAAAGCCTGAATGTGTTACCAGTGCCCTCTTTTAAGGTATATTTTTCTGCAGAGGAGCTGTTGCCAAATTTATTTTGACCTTTTTAGATAGGTGAGATTTCAGGCACCAGATCAAGACAAGTTAATTTGAAATCAGTTTGTGATCAAGTCTTTTTAAGACAGTACTATAACTTAAAAAATCAGAACACTGGACCCCTGTGATATGTAAAACTTCAATAATCTGAAATGACACCTGAGGTACACTGGTAAGACTCAGATAAAATGATGCCATCTATTTCTTCTTCCTGAGTAGACTCAAGTATCAAACCACAGCTCTATGGGAAGGTTCTACAACATGAAGGTCATGGGAATCAGAGAAATTGTTTTATCACATTTCTAGCTCACCTTGACTCTTCGACAACACTCTGAAAGAGCCTCATATGCACTAAAGGAAGCATCCAAGAAAACTTCAGAGACACTTGTCCCTAGATACACCCTCAGGCGCATATTTATAAAGCCTCATTGAAAAAGAGACTTACTTTTGTAGTCAGGCTATCACTTTTGCCAGTGCTTGCAGATGATCTTTAAAGTTCTCTTCCAACTCAAACCATTCTGTGATTCTATGTATGAATATGCCTGTGCTGCTAAATTCAGACTCATCACTTCCTTGATAGATTGGTGTTCCTAAATCTACAGTGAAATCATTTTTCTTCTGTCATGCAAATATTTTAATCAGATGTAGAAAGAAGAAAAAGAACAGTGACGTTTCCTGGAGATACAGACCACTGTATATTACCAGCAATTAATTCTTTGTTGCAGTGAGTATTTGTGTGTTTCCACTGTGTTGCAGCTGAATAACCTCACAATTCTAAGAACAAATGATGCTCTGATTTGAAACACCATGTGCCTTTTATTCATGCTGGCCTAAATATTTCTTATGGTGTTTTAAGCTCTGACCTTGGTCCCTTTCAAGATGGAAGCAAGCTTATATGAGAACGAGACGACAGCCAAGCCTATCTCAAATGGGGTATCAGTCTCCTATTTTAGTTGTTTCTCTGTATCCCTTATGAATGAGAATGTGTTATGATATTCACACCATCTCATCGTGTTTCAATTTTCAAGTAAGGAGGTATTTGTGTTGTGCCTTGCTTTATCTCTCTCTCTAGAACTACTGTGTAAATTATTTTCCACGAGTTATGTTTAATGTAGCAATGGTGTGCTATCTCCTTAAACTTGGTTGAATTGGGAGAAAGAAAAAAAAAACATCCAGTCACATCCTGAAAGTATTAATATTGATGTGAAAGCTCAATGGGTAAAGTTTATTGAGAAGAGGAAGATCTTCAATTAGATACTGGGTTATATCCCTTTTTTATCCTACTGAATAAAGCTGAAAAAAAATAAATGTATTCTGGGTATATACCTTCTGCTGATAACCAGGGTTTTAATTCCTCTGTGGTAGCATTACTCACTTAAAAATTAGGTCTTTAGTTTCTATTAGTAACCCAGACTTCTTTGATGATGATAGTATCGTAAAATTTATATTGAAATGTTTTTTAGAGATCTGTATTCCTACCCTTCCCCTGTTCAGAGTACAGCTGCTTTCAAAGCCCAGTTGGGTTGCTTGGAGCCATGTTCAACCAAGCTAGTCACTACAGAGGGGAGGTATCTTTGTATTCAACTTTTCAGCTCCCCAGTCTGAGAAGATGACTTGCACTCAAAGAGTTAATTTTTTTTTTGGTTAATCACTGTTAAGCTTAATACTATTTTTTGCCTTTATCTTACATATATGAGAGCAAAATTCAGATGTTGAGTGTGGTGATGCAAACTTACAAATGTATTTGAAATGCAAAAGAGATTAAAAAAATCACACTGTTTATAAGGTAATGAAATTTTGACTATTACAACTTTTTTTTTTCTTTTTTTTCTTTTTTTTTTCCAGGTACACCTCTGCAATCATTTCTACAATGAATGATAAGATGCACAGGGTCAACACATCAACAGTATCTGAATTTATTCTCATAGGCCTATCTGATGCTCCAGGGGTGCGTTTTTTTCTTTTTGTGCTGTTTTTGATCATCTATTTGGTCACCATGGCAGGCAACATCACAGTGTTTGTTGCCATTAGCACAGATACTCGTCTGCACAACCCTATGTACTTCTTCCTTGGCAACTTATCCCTACTGGATATCTTATGCCCCACTATTACTGTGCCAAAGATGCTGGAGGTCTTGTTGTCTGAGAACAATGTGATTTCATTCAGTGGCTGCATATTCCAGCTGTTCTTCCTCATTGATGTTGTAGGCACAGAGATTTTTCTCTTGGCTGTGATGGCATATGACCGTTACGTTGCCATATGTCATCCGCTGCAGTACGTTAATATTGTGAGTATGAAACTATGTGCTCGCCTAGCCATTGGCACCTGGATAGCAGGACTTTTTAATTCTCTATTGCACACATCTTTGATTTTTACACTCTTTTTTTGTGATTCTAATGAAGTTGACCAATATTACTGTGATATTCCACCTGTGATGGCCCTCTCCTGTTTACCTACTTACAGTAGGGAACTGGTGATTCTTATAGTAGCTGGGGTCCTTGGAAGCAGTGCCTTTGTGGTCACTCTGGTCTCATATGTGTATATCCTTTTGGCTATCCTGTACATGAACTCTGCTGAGAGCAGGCACAAGGCTTTCTCCACTTGCAGCTCTCACTTGACAGTGGTATGCCTTTTCTATGGGACTACTATTTGCACGTATGTACGGCCTTCTTCTGCCTACTCACCTGATCATGATAGGATAGTTTCCATGCTCTATGGGATCCTCACTCCGCTGCTAAACCCCATAATCTACAGTCTGAGGAACAAAGAAGTCAAATGTGCCCTTGGAAGAGTAATCAGCCAGGTGAGAACTATTTTAACAAAATAAGAACATCTTTCTGCCTCTGGCCTCCTCTGGAAGCCCAAGCAATTGGATAGGGACTGCTGGTAATGACATCTCTTACTTTAATCATCTAAAAGACAGATCCTGGAAAGAAACTCCTTCTCTGGACTCCGTTTACAGTTAAAAGGGAGAAGTATGCATCTCCAGACAGCTAACTGGATGGCACAACTCTGGGTCATTATTACAGGAGGAGGTGACCTTGGCTTGTAATCTTTTCCTCCATTGAGCATGGAAGAAGCTTAGATGAGAACCTTGGTCTTAAACATGGGTGTTGCCAGCCAGGTACTGTAGGCACACTTAATGGTGCACACACTTCTGTTAAAGTAGTTTATAGAACTGTTTCCTCTTACTGACCATTTCATTCCTGTGGAAAATAATGTAACTGTATCCTCTGTGGGAGACTGACTGGAGGGAAAGCTCCTTTGCTATCATTTAAGCTCATCAGTCTGGGTGTTTTCAACTGGCATGCCAATAGTTCAACAAGCATATCTGGCCATAGCTTGTGCCACATATCTCAGTCTGCCGGCATGTGAATCAGCTCCTACAAACTGGAGATATCGGCTATGCTGATATCTATACAGTAAAAGGAATCCTAGAAAACTATAGCAAGTGGGACAATGGGGAGGCTTTTCAGTCATGGACTTTCTGTGACCACTGTCTGGGCCTGCCCTGGCTTTTCAGAGTGTTGGTGGACTGAAGGAAGGCTTATCGAGTGTGCTTTAGGTCTGTGAGTCCATAACCAGGAACAGCACTTCCAAGTGAAAGCAAAGGTATGGCTGACAAAAAGGTGGAAACGGATGCAAGAGAAGGGGAGTACTGTGCCATCTCCTTTGTGCATTCTGGCTGTAAATCTGTGTATACCTTAACTACGTGCCTCTGTGCTGGGGTGATAAACTTACAGCTTGATGTGGACCTGAGGCTGTGTTAAAACAGTGTGCTAAATAGCTGATATTGCACATGGTTCCTTAAAAAAAAAAAGAAAAAAAAAAGGTGAAGGATGTCTTTTAGTGGCCTTTCTGTGGTTGCTGCCCTGACATGAAGGCTAAACTAATGACTTATCTGCAGGAAGTCAGATCTTAGTGATAACAAATGCACATTCTTATACTATGGAAGTAATCTGAACTTCATTCTTATCTGTAGAACATGTTTGCAATGTGTTCATAGGGCAACTAATAACCAAAAGAGCTTTTGCCTACAGTAATGTATTCTGAGTTGTTGTTTTGAAAATATTTCACCAACTTAAGAAATGACATGAAAGTCTATCCAAGGACATTTAAGTTTCAATGCCAAGTTTTAAGAAGCTGCTAAACCCACACATGTATCCATACCACTACAAAGTCTCCAACAGAATTCAGTGTGCTGACTGACCTACAGTAATCATGGGATTAAGTCACATAAGCACGTTTTATTAATGACCCTAGTCATCTTTCCTGGTCCCTAGTTTATGCTTAAAATTAATGAAAATAAATAAAAACTATAATAATAATAATAATAATAATAATAATAATAAATAAACAAACCAAAATATTCAGTCCTGTTTCATTTCCACCAGCTGGCTGAAGAGATCAGAAATCCTGTGAAATATGGGGGTAATTACCTATTACGTGTAGAGTGACAGGTATTTCCATGGTGTTATCTGTGATTCTTGATCTATGACAGTAGAAATAATTTTCCAGAAACAGCCACATTGACTCCTGAGCCATCTGACAAATTGCAAAGCATTTATCAATGTAGACAGAGGGACAGTCTGCTGTTCAAAAAATGAGCACAGAAAACTTGTTATAGGCTGGTGCACCATTCCCCTTCAATGGTCATTAAACAACTGCTCTGCAGGGTCACAAAAATTACTGTGGAGATGATGTGGGGATGGGGAGGAGCAGCTATGCTGGTTCCTTGCAAATCCAAAGATTCTGGTTGCTAGATCTGGAATTCTGAGATCAGACTTGCTCAGGAAGCATTTCTGTTTCACACCTCATGAGCTTTTTGTCCTCTTTATGTCCTATATGTTGGATAGGAGAGTAGCAATCAGCTTCATATTGCTATGGTTCAGCATTAGTGGCCTGTATGTGCCTGGGTGGGCTGCGACAGACCCGCTGAACAGAAATGCCTGCAGAGCAGTGGATGTGAGAGTAATGAGTCAGGCTGTAAAAGGAGAATCCCACAGCTTTGTAGCTGAGGGCAGCCCCAGCCTGCACAGCATGGCCCCAAGCAGCAGTGGTCAGAGGGGTGCTTATGGCCGTGTTCTCGCTGCCACAGTTCCACTGTCCAAAAATCCATCTCCTGTGTGGAGTTCTCAGACCATCTGCTGCATGTCCTGGAGCAGACGCTTCATGGCCCACTGAGTTTTGCCCCTGCTTACACCTCTTGGCAATGGACATGCCAGCGCCAAGGAGTATGTGGGGAAATGCTGAGATCTGCACGGCAGCTGCATGGGTGTGATGGTGAAATAGATGTTCCTGAGGCCAACAGTCTGGGGTGAGCTGCCTGAGGATTCAGAGTCACTGCTGGGGCCGAGCAAAGACAATGAGGAAGCACAGCAAGTAAAGGGGAGAGAAATGGGTTCAGAAGGGGAAGAAAAACCAAAAAAATGCCTGTAAAACAAAGACCACACCCATGCATTAGTGACAATGTTTTCTTCTACTCTGGCTAGGGCCCTTCCCTTCCGGAGTGTATTCTGCAAGGGAGGAAAGGGTCATCCTTGCCAGTAAATCCTAAAAGAAGTGGTCATAAGAGCTGTGGTGGTGTACTTGTATGTACTCTGCTTGCTACCACGCTCCTCTTCTGTAAGAGTATTTGGTATCCTGTTACTGAGAATGCCTCTCAAAGTGCCTCAGTTGAAAAACCTATAGCTATGAAAATAGATCTTAAACTGAATCAATTTCTGAAGTAGCCTCCTTTAATTGGGATTAAAGATCAACTGCATACTTTAGGAGACTTTAGAAGAATGAAGCACTGCTGAAGGACTTATTTGGGAAAGATTAAAAGCTCCCTTCAGTTCATTTTGTAGGGCTTAACCACATCATTCAGGGCATAGCATTTCTTTGTTATAGAAACTGATGTAGAAAGTCGTCCATGGGGGTGAGCGTACTGCAGTGGATGTGCTGTTCTAGACCCTTTATGCTAGGCATGCCTGGTGTTTGTGGGGCATGCAGCTGCCTAATTTGTGGAGGCCTGGGGTGCTTTGTGTCAGGAATATGTTGCACGTTGATTATCACACGTCTCACCCATCCTGGAATGGTTCAGTAGCAGCAGATGTTGGAGCAAGACTACCCTTCTGGTGTCTTCTCTCTTTGGATTTGAGGAAAGACCTGCTGTGACCTCCATACTTGTTCTGATTTCATTCTTCATTTCCCTGTATTGAGGAAACTGGTGGGAAAAAAAACAAACCTGGTGTTGTTTCTCAGACACAGCATTCGTTCTTATTGAAGGGTTATAGAAGATTCAATGGAAGAGGCTATATTTTTTCCTGTGTTATCACAGAGCAGCATCTTCAATGTCATCTTTTCTGGCTTCAGTGCTGGTACCCTTTATTCTTCAGCTAAGTACTGTGACTAATTCCTTTTCAACACAAACATCTCTCCACCTAGCTCAGGAAGGCCACACTTTAAGTCCAGCACTCTCTAAAATGCACTCATATGTGCGTTCTTCTACTGCCTAATGACTCGTTTTCACTTGTTCTTTATAAGTTAGTGATACTTCAGTTTTCATCTAAGGACTAATTCAGATTTTCCCATTGAGATTTAAATGAAAAGGTTCTGTCCCACCCATTGTGGACAAAAGAAAATATTTTGCTCCTTCCAATTTTTTAGGCATTTTTCCACTATCAGTTAACACAGCAACTTTTTAGGCATAGTATTTTTCCTAGATTGCCTCCTGAATATGGTTAGGTCATTTTTAAAATGATACTGAATCAAAGAGTTTGTTCTCATGTCAAACAGAATGTAGGCAAAATGAAAGTTAGAAAATACAAGTCACACAGACTGAACAAAGTCAGATTGTTTTAAGCAATACCTATATTGATATACTGGGGGAAGGGGAGGGGAGAGAATTCCTCCACACCTGGAATATAACAAAGGTTTAAAAATATATATATATATATTTAAATAGTCTTCTGTATTCATGCTTACCACAGAACTTCTGCTTGCAACCCTGTGACCTTACCAGACACGTTTTAGTGTTCTGTTTGCATTGCTGTTTCTGCTCTTATCAGTAGACTGTCCTGTAAAAAAAAATATAAAAAAATAAAAAAAAAAAAAAAAAAAAGAAAAAAACTGGGAAAACTGGGGAGTAGAGATTGTATGATGGAAGGACACCAACTCTTAATGTGGATTTGACTGCAAGGTGTGCAGTTTTTGTTGGCTCCAAATGAGAAATTTCTGTTCTCCAAAACCTGAAGGGAAGAGCCAGAAAGAGCTTACTTGCAGAAGAGGGAGCTCTCATACTCCTTATCAGAAAGGAGTTTTTTTTTGTTGTTTTGTTTTTTAGCAGTTGTACATTCTCATACGTGTACTGTGTTTGGGGGTAGGATTCCTGGTCAGCCACAGACTCTGAACCTGAGACAAGGCAGAGAAGGGCCATTAGAATTTACTTTCATTTCCTATGGATGTAGCCTGTCCTCTCTTTTCCTGCATTTAGACAAATGGACTTTATTCCTCTCAGATCTGAAAAGAACTTTTTTTTTTTTCCTCCCAAGTGATCCTTTGGATGTGTGTGTTTGTTTGTTTGAGTTGTTATTCTGTTACTTGGACTTCTGTTACTCTGTTATTATGGACCAAAAAAACACTAATTTTCTGTACTGGGGAGGGAAACACTGTAAATGAGGAAATGTGTGTTTCTGTTCAGGAGGGAAGAAGTCTCTTTTTCTAAACTGGTCAGAAGCTGCTTAGTAGTTCCAGCCCCATCAAACTTTTCTAGTCTTCTGAGAGTCCAGCACTTGCAGGGCTGAATTAATCCCTGGAGAAATTATACTTGAGTCTTGCTGTATGTTTGAAGGAAGCCCTTCCTCAGGTTGCTGTTGACATCAGACTTGTCCTTCAGCTCATTTTGAAACACACTGAAGACAAAAAGCACAGGCCTGAGCTGCTGCTTCAAACACTTTCAGTCACTAGGGACCCTTAAAGTGTGGAATATTTCAGTATATTCGTTTAATTACAGGCAGAAATTAATATTCCTTTAAGATGTGTCTGGTAAGCTGATAACCTGTTTTCCCAAAATCAAGTCCAGCATGCTACTTCTTTTCAGTGCTCCTTGGTGAGGAAGGGCACAGACAAAACCACACACACAGAATAAGATGAAAAATATACACATACACAAACATGGCCTACTGAAAACACTGAGGTATCGTGCTTCACAGCTGATAAAAAGGACATTTTAGTGGCTTAGTTGGAGTAATGAGTGCTTCCTTCAGTCCCTAAAGGCTAAAATATTTTCACATCTATTCAGACTAGATATATTTCCTGTCTCTCGTTACATCTACCAGCATTTACAGGCAGGGCAGAGTATTCTCCAGCAGCAGCAGGCATCTTTTATGCTATGGTGGTGATTACGTTAGCAAATATTTTGTTTTCTCAGGAGAGATCTCTAGGCAGGAGCTGTGTAGCTAACCTGGGTGGGTTGTGTCCACCAGTTTATGTTGGTTCCAGCTTAATTCCATGTCAGTAACAAAGGCAGCACTTATATTAACGGTATGATAGTAATTCTGGTAGCATTGCACTGACTTCTTTGTAAACATTTAAGAATTTCTATTTGTATTTGGAATAATAGTCTACATTGTTTTAACTTAAAGTTTCTAAATTTGGTCAGATACTGTGCCACAGACTTTTGGTAGCACTGGATAGAGATTTCTCTTTATCCATACAGGCAGCATACCTGTAGAAGCAGGGACTTCTACCTGTAGAATACAGGGACGCTGTACATGTTTGTAGGGGGAAAATTCATGCGGCCAAAGCCCAATTAGAGTTGAAGCTGGCCAGGTCTCTGGGAGACAATAAAAAGGTTTTTTCATTGTTTTTTGTTTGTTTGTTTGGTGTTTTTAAAAATATGTGAACGGGAAAAGGAGAACAAGACAAAACATAGGTCTGCTACTTGACGGGGAAGGTCACCTCACAGACAAGGACATAGGCAAAGCAGAGACAGTTAATCCCTTCTTTGCCTCTGTCTTATAAAGCAAGTATGTAGTCTTCAAAGAAGCTCTCATGATCTCACATACGTAGACTTTTCAGCTCTGAATTTTATGAGGTAAGCTTCCTTCTCTAAGAGTATTTACTCAAAACAATCCATTTGATGTTTCCAGCATCACCAATACTACTCAACAGCAGAGTAAGTCTCCTACAATTTAAGGATAAGTGGGCTGGTTTTGGTTATCAACCAAATAAAATTGGTTGGAAATCACATTTACCAGATAAAGTCAGTTCAAAATGCAGGGCAAGCATGGAAATTTCTCACCTGAATGGCAAATTACTTTAGTAAATTTGGGAAAACAAAGCTAGAACAGAAAATGTTATACTGTCTGTCTTCATACACAGAAGCTACAGCAATACTGAAGTATAGTTGCTTAGATTCATAATACTGCCTTTCAAGTTCACTTTTCGCTAAGAATCTATGTCCTACTATTCCACAAATCTTCACACAAATAAATTACACTTTCAAAGTGTTACAGACACATTACGTGACATGGGTCATGGGAAATTCAAACTTCACGTACTTATTGAACCCAACAGATCAGAGACCAGATCAGTATTAGAATGAAAAAGAGGGTTACATTACCTAAAGCTCTCTGAAATGATTAAATAATTTTTCAATCACTGTGATAACAGGCATTCAATTGCCTTAGATATCACAGAAAGTCATTGAGACACAATTTCACTTTTAGTCATTTACTGGAATGCGTTACCATCTGGACCAACTCCAGATTTCTCAAATCCAATACAGAAAATTTCACATCAGCCTGAGCAGCATCTAATAACCTACACCATACCACATGAACTGTGAGCTGCAACAAGACAGCGATATGGCAGCACATTTTAAAAACTGCGTTCATTCTTCCCACGCTCTTCAGTTGCATTAAAAACCTCAAGAGGCTCAGCAACAAAACTTAACATCTCTAACCAGCTATTATATTGAAGAAGTTACTAGACAATTAACTTACTTGCCCTAAAAGACAAAAACAGTATACTCTTCAGCTTAATTCCTTAAAAATATTTGCATTGAGCCAAAACGTTACATTTAATCACCTTTGGTTTTACTTTACTTCTAAAATTGATTGGACTAATCAAGCATACTCTGCATAGCCGAATGTAAAACTGGTTCTTTGTCAAAAGACAACTAAACTACTGTTATCCTAAAGCATCTCCAAAGCTCAATTGAAGCTAAAACAGTATTGTGAAGCTAGCTTACAAAAGAGATTTATTTTTTTGAACAGACAACAGATCTACAATCCAGCTATTTGACTTTGGTATTAAAGCATGAATCTTCAGGCCTTGAAGATTTAAAAAACAAAACAAAACACAAGATTTGACACTTTTTGACATATGATTAAGTACTATGAGAACCAATACTGACTTTCAGTTGTTTCTTTAACCTGTAATTGTCAAACTGTAATTTCCTACTTTTTTTTTTTTAGGCTCCACATTTCAGCTATGGGAAATTTCTATGTCCTTTGCTATTCTATGAGGAAACACGGTACAAATTACTACACGTATTTGAAGCAATCACTCAGATTTTTTGACAAGGAAGTCAAATGCAAACACCATTCTGCTTTTGGGAGCCCATGTCTCAATACGCAAGGCAAACTATTTAACATAATTTGTTTGTCTCTGCGGGAAATGACTTGGGATGATTCTAATAAGGTCTCAGTAGATGCAGTTTAAAAAGTTGGTGCCTGACAAACTGCAATGACGTAACTTGGCAGGAGAGTTTAAGTGTGTTTAAATTGGCTCCACTGTGCATCGTTAGGATCTCAAGCTTTCTCTCCTGGAAATTAGCAGCTCTCCGAGCATACAGCCAGGTTTGATTATGGCTCTAATCTAAGCGGAAGTGAGAGACTGTCTCGAAGGAAAAATGTCCTGTGAAAACTAGAAGGATTTCTACAGTGCTTTTGTTCAATCCCAAGAAAAGGGAGGGGATCCTTGCCTAACCCATTGAATTGCAAGATTACAGGTCAAGCAGAGCTAGCTGCGTGCCCCTGTTAGGGGCTGGCTTTAAAACTGCTTGGACCGAGCTGTTTTCAATACTTCTCCACTTTTCTAAGCTCAGAAATGGTTCTTGAGGAAGATGAGGCCAATTCAGAGCTGTCCCTGTCCCCTCCAGCTGCCTAGGGCTCCTGTCCTGCAGATCTTTTCAGGGGGCTCCTTCTTCCCAGATCCTGGCCAATATGAGTCAATGTCCTGAATAGACTCCCAAATTCTGAATTTAATTTTAGAAGAGATGACATTGTCAGAGTGTGCCGTTGCACACCTGCAATGTGAATTGCAGTGCGGGATTATTCCCTTGTGAAGTGTGAAGATAGGAGAATTCCCTCCAAGGACCTTTTCCCTCTATCAGAAACATGAATGTCCAGCAGAGAAAAAGGACCATTTTCGTCTTCACAATTTTGTCTTCAGGCAGCAGCTGAGTCTGTCATCAGCCTTGGGTCATAGTAAGCATTACTAGCTTGAGACCTGACAAATCTTATTAATCCCACAGTTAGACAAAGTGAAGACAAAGTGATTTGATTTTGACGTATCTTAGGGATGGTCCTGCTGTGACACAAAGGGCGGGCAACAAAGCCTCTCTCCAATCAAACAGTTGCCTCTGTCCCGTCTCGCTGTATTCAAAGATGCAGTCATGACTTCTCGTTTCTACTGTCAGGAACTGCCAAGCCTGAGGTTGCTCAAATCCAGGTAACTGGTGCACATCTGTATTCTCCAAATAAATGAGACTTTGTTTTGTTTTGAGAAAATGACTGTTTCATCATAAAATATGATGTAAAACTGTAACTTTCAAGTATGCATCCTTAGCTAGGAATTTCTTATGGAGGCCACAGCAAAATGAGCAGGGTGAGTTGTAGCAAGTGACTTTGGATGACTGAGCTATTTGGATGAAAAACATTCATAATAAGGAGTTAAAATTAACTCTATCCTAGCTGAAACCAGGACATACATCCACCCCTTATTCTATACCATTTATGTCATGCTCAGGTTACACCCTTTCCAACACATTCCAGTTAATCACCATTTTCATCTATAGTATATACAAGTGTGAGATATGTTCACCTGATTCGTGGCAGTATGGAACAATGCTAGGGCTGCATGGTATGATGAATATGACCTTCTTTCTTACATACCCTTGTATAACCACAAGTCTAAGAAAAACAGAGTGGTTGATGTATATAATTCTTGTATCTTGCAAATGAATGTTTCAGTAATTCGCGTCAATAGAGAGCTTGAAGGGAAATGTATTTGTAGGCTTTTCCTTGAAGTCTCTGATATCTGAGGGGGTTTCAGAATAACTGCTAACTATTATGACTATTGCAAGGGACAGTATGCAAGTCTCTGGTATCTGGGCAGGAGATTAAGGAGACAGGGAGAGCTGAAGAACAACTAAAAGACAAAGCTTGCAGGGGAGTCTCTGACATACAGACAAGTTGGACAAAGGAGAAGGACAAGAGGGAGGAAGACTATGAGCCTTCAGCATGAGAGACCGCCAGAGGGACCACCAGAGACTGATACGCATGCTCCAGTAGGAGGGTTTGGATTCCGGAAACTAATTATAATAACCCTGTGGTTTTTTTTAGTAGTAGTAATGAATATGTATTAGCGTAGGAGCATAAAAATCAGCTGCTTGATGTAACTGGTGTGCGTCTTGGTGGAACAGAGACTCCCGGTGCACCCAGCGCTGTTTGCTTACCTCTATTCCTTTAATAAATTGTAAACTTTGATTATAGTCCTATTTTGAAGACTGAGCCATTTATTACACAATGTCCACCGAGTTTGCATAGTCCATGGCTGACTTCGGGCTCCATCTGTTACAGCAGTCTTTCAGGGCAGAAGAAATGGTGTGTGATGTTGGATCGTCACAAATTGAAGCCCGTTCTCATTCCATCACATCTCTGTGCTTGTCCAACTCTATCAAAATTCATTCATTATTATCTGCGTGGCTGTCACTGTGATACCATTAATAGGACATTGACATATAGCAATCATGGTAGTGATGACGTACAGTATTATATAATAATTAACATAGTACAATTCAACTCATGGGCTATTCTCACACAGTATTAAATCCCCTTCGGGTACACACCAGACCTCCCCATTCTTTTGCATTACCCACCAAGTGCATCCAGGTCCCTGAGCAAAAGCAATCCCACGAATGGGTTTGCCTTTTCCTGAGGCAGGAGTAGCCCAGACTGTCTCACCCAACATGTTTCTTATGTGCACTACAGGAACTTTATCCCCTTCTACAGTATGTAACAGGTTTGATGGGGCAGGTCCAGCTCGGTTGGCAGATCCCATAGTATTGAATAACCTTTGCCAAATGCATATCCCAATTTTTGAATGTCCCAGCACCCATTGCTTTCAGTGTAGTCTTTAACAGTCCATTGTGTTGCTCAACTTTCCCGCAGACTGGTGCACGATAGGGCATGTGATACACCCACTCAATGCTTTTTTTGTCTTAAGTTCAAGCCACAATTTGTTGAGCCAGGCAGGTCTTCTTCCACACCAGCTCGTCTTTGGGCACATGGGGACAGACCACTCCTGAGCCATTAAGATTTCCTTCTTGAAGAGTGCCCAGCCTTCCTGGACTCCTCTGCCCTTCAGAACCGCCTCCCAAGGGACTCTGCCAATCAGTGTCCTGAACAGCTCTAAGTCTGCCCTCCGGAAGTCTAAGACAAGGGTTTTACTGGTCCCCCTCCTGACTTTGCCAAGACTAGAGAACTCCACCATTTTGTGGTCACACTGCCCAAGACAGCTCCCAACCACCACATCTCCCACCAGCCCTTCTCTGTTTGTGAACAGAACGTCCAGCTGGGCACCTCCCTTGGTAGGCTCACTAACCAGCTACATCAGGAAACTATTTTCCACACTCTCCAGAAACCTCCTAGACTGCTTCCTTTGAGCTGTATTGCATTTCCAGGATATGTCTGGGAAGTTGAAGTCCCTCACAAGGACAAGAGCTGATGATTTCACAACTTCTGCCAGCTGCCTGTAGAATTCCTCATCCGTCTCCTCATCCTGGTTTGGCAGTCTGTAACAGACCCCCCACACCAGGATGCCTGCTTTATTGGTCTTCCTGCTGATCCTAACCCATAGGAATGATAAGATTGAGTCTCCAGACTCAGTCTTGAGTTCCACAACATTGAAAAATTCTCTAATATAGAGAGCCACATCACCACCCCTTCTGTGCTGCCCGTCCCTTCTGAAGAGCCTATAGCCAGTCATTGCAGCACTCCAGTCACGAGAGTGGTCCCACCATGTTTCGGTGATGGCAACCAAGTCATAGCTTGCCCGCTGCATGATGGCTTCCAGCTCCTCCTGTTTGTTACCCATGCTGCGTGCATTGGTGTAGATGCACTTCAACTGGGCCATTGCCTGCTCCCCCAGCCCTGACATTGTTCTCCCTGGCACACATCTAAGGAGCCTTGTTCCCTCCCCATCCCCAACCCCTTCCTACCTAGCTTAAAGCCTTCTCAACGAGCCCCGCCAGCTCCTGCTTTAGTGTCTGTTTTACCCTTTGAGACAGGTGGGACCCATCTGCAGTTAGCGGGACAGGTGCTGAGTAGAGCACCCCATGGTCAAAAAATAAATAAATAAATAAATTCTTTGTTGGCATCAGTCTCTGAGCCAGCTGTTTATCAGGTGTGCTTTCTGACTCCTCTCTGTACCTCCCCCCCACCACCACTGTAGGGATGGAGGAAAGCACAACCTGTACTCCTGCTCCATCTACTAGTCATCCCAGCCCCCTAAAGTCCCGTTTGATAGCCTTCAGGCTTCTCTCTTCAATATGATCTCTGCCAGCCTGGACTATCAAAAGAGGATAATAGTCAGAGGGGCGAACCAGGTTGGGAAGCTTTCTGGCAATGTCCCTGACCCTGGCCCCAGGGAGGCAGCAGACTTCCCTACGGGTAGGGTCAGGCCAACAAATAGGGCCCTCTGTCCCCCTGAGAAGGAAGTCACCTACAACAATCACCTTTCCTTCTTTCTTAGCAGAGGCAGTCCTGAGGCGTGGAGTCAACTTCCTTGCCCTAGGCATCCTCCTGGGTAGACTGTTCATTCTCACCCACTGGTCTCAAGCTCCAGGGCCTCAAACCTGTTGTGTATGGGCACCTGGGGAGGCAGGGCCGGTAGGGAGGGTGGTTGCCTGTGACATCGAGCAGATATCTGTTTCCATTCCTCCTCTATTTCCTTTGAAGCTGATATTGTTTGATAAATACTGGAGATTAAACAAGATGTGAGTCAATTTACTTTTTATTTCCTTTACATGCAGAAGTAAAAATAATCTTAGTCTCAAAGTACATAACTAAAGTATATACTCTCAGTTTGATTTTCCTGCAGCTACATACTTTCCCATACTGATATTATTTTGGGAATGACCAAGCTTGCTGTTATCTAAAGGTTTTTAAGACCAGGAAATAATACTACGGTCCTCACTGTGGGAAAGAAATTTGGAGTCATAAATGCACCTGAAAAGTAGCACATACTCAAAAAGCAGAAGTGCATAAGAAGCAAAAGAGCAACGTATCAGAAGAATTGACATCACTAATTTTGTTGAACTCTATCACACAGTTTATTTTTCCAGAGCAGATTACTGCTAATCTATTTTGTTTTGCAAGGCATCAATCAAACAACTAAGCACAAGCCTTGAACAAGGTATGCAAAGGTATGAGTAAACTCCAGGTAGCAAAACATACCTGAACTCTTACAAACTTGAGGCAAAACTTCAGCTGAAGTAAAGTCAGATGGTTTCATTAGCTTTAATATCACTTCACATCACCTGAGCATCAGACTCATTCTGCAGATGTCATCCAAATGCATTAATGAATTGTTCTAATCACAAGTGAAACGGACAGTTTTCCATAACAGTGGGCAACTTCTTCATACAAGAAGGAAAGCAACCTTAGTTTCTCATTTCTGAGTCAATTACCATCTTTGGTCCTTTACTTTGTAAATTTATTTCATCAGATAGACTCCTTCAAAAGCAGTTGAAGGGCCTGGCTTAAAGCCCACTGAGGTCACCAGGCCTTTACTTGCTGTAAGAAACATAACATTCAGACCAATAAAGCACAATTCCTTTTAGATCTTTACCTCAATCTTTTATGGAGTCAAGCACGGACCTGAAATTTGAGGAACTCCTAATTGTCCAAAAGCATTAGACCCACAGGACAGAACTAGGCCAATTCCTGCAAAATAAAGTGTTAGAGTCTGATCAGTGTATAAGTCAGCAAAAGCAAAGCACCATAACATTCCAACAGGCAAAAGTATCACAGTGAAACAACTCAAAAAAGACCTAGCATCTCCTCTTCCGAAACCCCTGAGGACACAGGCTTCTGGTTTTACATATCACATTCAGTAAAAGTCTGAAGTTCAAGGTGATACAAGAAACACAGACTAACTTAGTTTGCAATGCAAGTAGCTTAAAACTTATGAGTGTCACGCACGGCACAGGCAATAGCAATGTAGAACTTCCAGTGTGTTCTCTACATCACTATTTTTCCCCAGCTCCTACAGAGGCAGACTTACCTACTAATATGATTGCAAAATCCCAACCACAGGCAACTTCTTTTACATGAAAGCCAGACAGGGCAGTGCACAGAAGTGAAACGCAGTACATCTTCTGTGTGATTCAGTCCCAGCTGCCCTTCTTTGTTATGGCCATGCACAAAGAGCACCTGGAATAATAAAAATAAAAAAATAAAATCACATCCACTTGACAGACTAAAAAGAGAAGTCTATATGCCATGAGATCCCGTGATAGACAAGGACAGCTGACTGTGTCATCTTAGGCACTGCAATCACACAAAAACAGAAAGAACTATTTCTGATGCATAAGAAGCATCTTTAAATAAACAGTTATATAGAGTCAAGGGAGACAATCTATATAGGAAAAGCAGGAACCTGTTATCAGAACTGTTTCATACCATTCACACTTCTCTGTATCCCTTCTTTCCTATCATTAGCCCACAGCAGAACCCTTCAAAGACCAGACACTATTTTCCACTCCTTACACTAGCACTTCTCAAGACTGAATAACTTCCTACTTGACTCCTTCCCCCCCCATCCTCAATACAGGAAAATCAACAGTTTTGTATGAAAAGCTGTTATATAAAACAGGTTAAAAAAAAAAATTGTCCTCACAAATCCATTAAATAACCAAAGATAAACAAAACAGAGGAAATCCCCCCAAAATATTAACAAGCACTGGAGAAAATCGCGTTGCAACTAAGCTCAGAAACAAAAGCAAAAGATGGGTGGTAGCACCAAATCAACAGGGAAACACTTTTTTTTTTCAGACTGTCATACATTCCTTGCAAGCACAATGTTTTTACCAGTGATAACTGCAGAATGTCCCCCTCCTCCAGTAATGCTCAACATTTGCAGGAAACATCTTTCGTTGACTGAGGTACCAGCACATCCTCTTTATGACCGAGACCAAGTTGTCCATAGCTGTTTGCACCCTTCAAATACACACACAAATAAATAAATAAAAAGACAAATTTAAAAAAAAAAAAAAATTAACACAAAGAGATTCACTCAGCCCTGCTCCTATGAGCCAACAAGCTCATCAGGAACATATCACAGGTTAACCTGCCAGTATTTGCTCCCGAAAATCCCCCAAAAGGGGATCTTCAATCCTACAGCTGTCTCATAAGACCCCCAGAATTACCAACAATGATTGTCCTAGATCTGCTGCCACTCAGGTTGCCACTATAACCCCACTGTTGTAAGAAACATGCTGGAATATATCACAGTAAGACTAACTGTAGGCTAATAGCTTTCTGCTAAGGCAGAAAGCCTCGTTATCAAAGATGATCTCCACCTGTTTAATTTTAGTTCAAATGGTTCCCACTCATCACCAAGACACCATTTGTGCCAATGCTTTCCTAGCAGTATGCCCCCAAAATAAGATGAGAAAGACATGCTACCTTATTCTGGAACCTAAGTGAGGAATGCAGAACAAACTCTTTTAACTTAAAGTGGGCAAAATGCAAATAGACCACGCGTTTATAAAAACAAAACAACAGCTGCTAAACCAATCCCACAAAGCCACTGCTGACAACGTGGTAACACGTCGGAGGATGCCTTAGCCATGTCTAGCTCTATTCGATGACCAGAGCCCAACAGCGTGACCCCAACCCCTGTTCACAAGGGCGGGCTCTCAGCAACGTCCAGCCCAGCTGAGGGTTAACCCACCTCCCCTGCTCTCCCCTGGTGCATCCCCAAAGGGTACCTTCAGCACTAAACACCTGGTACCTGCAGAAGCATTAGGCACTTGAGGCAAAAGCATCAGGCTGGACGGTTAACAGGTGGGTGAGATTTCGGGATCTGGGCTTGAGAGGCTCATGCGGTCGCTGTCTGGCAGTCAGTTTTGGAGCGATACCACACGCCAGACCCACCGTCCTTCTCAGGAGGCTGCTCGCAAGCTCTGGTTTTAGTTCACAACTTGCGAGGAACCCAAACGCCGTGGTATCGCTCACGCGAAGCAGGCGGGAACCCCTCCCCCGAGGCTGGGCGGGCCGGGACCCAGCTCCCCCCGTCCACACCATCCCCGGCCCCCACCTACCCAGACGAGCAGCACCACGTTAGTCCCGTCCCGTCCCGTCCCGTCCCACAGCCGCCGGGGAGCAAGAGGCGGAGCGGGGACGGGCTCCGTCGGGGCCCCGCCTCAGCCCGAGCCGCCCCGGAGCGCTTCCCCCCTCAGGCGGCTGTTGGGTAACGGCCGTTGGGTAACGGTCGCGCCTCACGCGCGCTGCCTCAGAGGGGAAGCCGCCCGCCGCCCCAGTCACCTCTCACAAACATACACACCATTCCCCACGGAATGAACGCACGGGGGCAGAAAAGGCGAATGTAAAGCGTAAACACACACAACTTTAGTCAGAAGGGAGTGCTTACAGTGCTGAAGTAAAGGTTTATTTGCTCCTACTGATCACCAACAGGGCGTCGCTATTTATTTCATGGACAGTTAAAGCCTCCACAGTAGTTAAAAATACTAAAATTGTCACTGCTCTACACATAGGCAGAAAGGTTGGGTGTGTGAAGCCAAACATACATGTTACACTGTGAAAACGCAGTCCTCTATTACTTTTAGCAATACTTACACTTTTGTTACACGGGTGCAAATAAAGACACAATTGCTGGTTTTTTCCAAAGTAGTTGAAATTAGGTACTAATTTAGGAGATGTAAGGTTTCCTACTCAATGAATACATAATTCAGGCAAAGTCTTGTAGTAACACAGATCTATATTTCAACAACATAATAATCCCATCATTTCTTTAAGTGCAGCTGAGTATTAACTGTTATCACAGAAGCAGACAGCGCATCCTCCCTCATTGCTCAAAGACTGGTTCTTCTTCAGGAAGAGGAAGCGTCTAAACCCTATTTGAAAGTGTGACATAAACTGTAAATGTTGTAGACCACAATTCTACATGTCCAAAATATTATTAAAAAAAATAATAATAGTGTATTAAGTCACAGGAAAATTAAATCAAGTCTAGATAAACAGTGAATGTGTTTGGAAAGATAGGGCTGGTGATTGCTTATGGAGCAGAAGCAGCCTACCAGAAGGCATATGAAACAAAGTCATTATCAATCACAAAGGTTCTCAAAAGTCCTTTCCAATTCCCAAAAGACTTGGACCAACATCTCCAGTGCATTTGTAATTTCAGTCGATTTTCCCAGTGACATCCACAGTTGCAAACTGTGGCTTTTCTATAGATCTACATATGAAGAATCAGTGCCTAGCATGATATAAAATACACCAAATGTGTCATTCCCTGTACAGATATATTTATTTCATAGACAGGGTGGTAGAAACAGCAGGCAGTGCAGCTCTGTAAAGCTACACAAGGATGCTTGAAACTACTGTGGGACACTGATTCCTATCAAATGTTTGGATCTTTCAGTTATCATTTGCTTGATGGTGAATACAGGTGTTCAGGTCTAGCAAAGAAGAAACTAAATCCATATTTGTGCATCTTGCAAGGTCAATGACGTGACTAAGCTGTCAATAGGATGTTTATCCTTATAAAAAGCCATGAACTTTGGCCATAACTAAGAACTTTAAAATGAGAGCCATTTTAGACCTGGGCTTCTCTTAGTCCTGTGAAGCCATTTTGAATATTGAATTGTAATTTGGAAATGGTTTTAGGCATTGTGATAAGTCACTACCTGATGGCTTGCTCTAATTGCTATAAATATAATAAAATGGCTAAATTTATTCAGTGAAGAAAAAGGCAAATGATATTTCCTTAGTGTCTTCCCTCAGGTGCAATACCAGGGACAGAAACAAAAATCCTGACTCTGAGCTGACAGTAAATCTCTTGAAATAAGGAGAATTAGGATTTCATGCAATAGCTCTGTATCTCTGCCTTCTACTAGAAAGATGCTAATAAGTACAGTTGCAATTCTTTAGGGGAACAAATGATCTCTTTGAAAAGGAGACTTGACCCCTCCATTTTATCATGATGAGCTTCCGGCTATTTGTGTCCTGATGCCTGGATCGTGATCAGTCAAGTTTTAAGCTTAATAGCACAGGCATAGAAGCACTGATGACTATAACTTCTATGCTATAAAATCTACACTACTGTAAAATTAGCAGCATAGACTACTAGAGTCAGACAGACATTTCCCTGTACCAAATTATTCTGATTGCCTCATAAGCCACCCTCTGAAGTATCTGCTCCCAGCCCTGATCCACAGACCACAGCTGTGGTCCAGTCTGGTGATTTCTCTAGTCCTCTGCTAGCTTCTGAAAAGGAACACTAGGAGTTTTTAATCCAGGGAGGATAAAGGTAGAGGAAATACATTCTGTAAGCGACTTTAAACAGAGAAACAAATAAAGCAATTATCCTTATGGGCCATTCACTCTTCCATTTGTAAAGGAAAGTTCTGCATACAGCACGTTACATGCCTAGAAAGAAATCAGTGGGGAGAAGAAAAGAGTTGCTGAGCACACCACACTGATGATGGGAATGTTAAACTTCCAGTTGTTTGCCCATCTTGCTGAGGGCATCGCTGACAATGTCTAGCTCATGACGTAGCTCATTCACCACGCTGGCAATGCTCTTGGTGTCTTTCAGGATCTGCACACTCTGAGTATATGGATTGTACTTCACGCCAAATGGGCGCTTGATGGTTTTTGCAAACTCTCTATGCAAGTAAAAAAAAGAGAGGGAGTTTAAACAAAAGACAAATGCATCCTCTGTGTGCAATCAGTATCAATAACCACTTTTATGATAATTATAATTACTACATAGTTCATCATCTCTTCCATCCAGTACATGAGAGACCAAACAAATATTGAATTCAGCTTTCTAGCCCCAGGAAAGGTAAGTATAAAACTGTGCTAAGAATGAAAAGATTTGATGCTGCTGCTGAGAGATGCATGAAGTCAAACCTGCTTCTACAAAACAGTGAAGAAAAACCGTACCTCATCTTTTCTTTTGCTTCTTCAAAACTTTCAGAAACAAAGTAAACCTCCTGGAAAGTTGTAATGAGACATTCTTGCTTGCAGGTGACCTTTGGATCAAAAGGCTTGACTTTGGCACTGCCAGAGAGCGAGTGCTGGGTAACGTAATGTGTTATCATGTCAGAGGAACATCACCACCAAAAGAATCCATAAGGAAGAAGACAAGAAGCAAAAAGAGAATAAAAAAAAAAAAAAAAGATAACGTGAGACCATATTTAGTGCGTTGCTTCTTAAAACATCTCTGCAACTGAACAGTGGTTTAAGCTTAAAGAACTGAATAGCTCTGAAGGGTCATTTTCCACCAATAAGGATCAAAAATGGGGTTCTTCAAACACAAGACTTTGTAAACAAGAGCATTATTTTCAGAATCTGTTTAAACCAGCAGAGTCTTATTCTCAAAATAGGTTACTTGGAGCCTAAAGTTAAGAAATACCAGTCATACGATGCTTTCTGAGAACAACACGGGAGCTGCTCAGCATGCACCCAAAAGGACACTGCCCTGTAATTAATGCCACACTGAATTCACCTAAAATTCATCCCTACAGTAGATACTGAGTAGTTGGCTGTGTTTTGTTTTGTTTTTTAAAGTATTTTTAGAATTATACCTCATAAAAATGGCAGAAGAGTGACAATAATAATCAGGTAGGTGCAAATAAAAGAGGGAAATAAGCACTGGATATTCTTACCTGGAGCTCACTAATTGAAGAGAGCAAGCCAGCCCCATAAACTCTTAGCTGTCCCTCTTGCTTGCACAAGCCAAACTCTACAGTGAAGAAGTAGCACTGAAACGGAAAAGGGAGGAAAATAATTCAGCCTTCTGCAAAGATGCTGTGGTGAGCTAGATGGGGCATTTCTATTTGTAGGTGGTGTCAAACAGTTTCAAATGGCATACAGTCATCATTTGGTTATCACTCTCAGATATAGAAAGGGGAAGGAACCTGAATGGAAGGGTTAAGAACCACAGGACTGCACATTTCTAATAAAAAAGTCTGATAATATAGTTCACCCAGATAGGCTGGAAGTTGTTAATCCCAGTAGGATCATGGAAATTTAAATATTTTTTGAGAAATATAGTCATGACATGACAGGTTCAGGTTAAAAGAACCACTGGACAGAGAGGACCTTGGTGAACAACAGTCCATTACAATTCGTTCCTCATTTGCTTATTGTTCTAAAAAAATAACATTTAGTTTGCTGGATTTCACGATTCCTGCAGGTATATAGCAAGGAATGTTTTTTTCTTAGATGGTTTAATTCTGCTCCCACTGAAGATAGCAAAAATTTTACCACTAGCTGCAATTGTGTGGGAGGGGGGGAGGAGCAACCATTTTCAAAAGTTGCATCAATTATTTTTTATGTAAAATGTTCATCTCATAATATTTTGGCCAAAGCATCTAGAAACTGGTATCTGGAAGTAAGATTAATTTACATTATCTGAATTTATTGGCTAAAAAAATCTAATGCTAGTGCTCAACACAGTTAATGAAAAGATCTTACTGTTTCAATTCATTTGACACAGTAAAGAAACAGATTACATTTAAAATCATTGAACCATGTTCCTGGAAATAAAAAATATATTTATCAGATGAATCAGATTATCAAATTTCAAGCTGGAAGAATTGAGCTACTCCCAGAAATTGTATCCTTATCTGATAGCCAGGTGAAGAAAAATACCACCCACATCTTCCTTTATTTATTTATTTTTTCCTAGCATGGAAACTTGCTATATGCTCTAAAAACTGAGAACCTGTGAAACAGGTCTAGCAGCTGGCATGGCTAATGTTGACATGACTCTCCAAATTAACTAGACAGACTGGGATCAGCTGAGTAAAACACTAAGCTTTAAAGAGGATCACTGGGCACTGAAACACTCACTGTTGCCAGTTTTTGGACAGCCTCATCTGATGCCCCAAGTGATGCAAGACCAATTTCCTGCGAGAACTGAGCAAAACTGGGTTCAGCCAAAAGAGGGACGTGGCCTAGGAGCTCATGGCAGGTATCACTGGAAAGAAGAAAAAACAAGAAACCTCATCATCTTTCTTTATTGTAGTGTGAAAAAGCAACACCATTAAACAGATACAGGGTCTCATGTGAAACTTTAATAACCAAAAGACAGAGAAGTATCAAATCAAAAGACAGAAGTATCAAATCAAGTTCAGCTGAAAGCAACTAAGCAGGTCATACCAGCCCTACAAGACTACATATCCTCATTCAAAAATCTGAGTTTGTCTAAAATTATGATCCAAGCTGCACATTTATAAGGCAATTGAATGTTAAACTAACTTTGCCCACAATGACACCACTAGGAGTTCTCCAATAACGTGATGTACTTTTGAAAATCCCATACTTCTGAAGGTGGCACTTGAGCATGCCAAAACATCATTACATTCAGCACAAAGACCGAGTCTTTGGCACTTTCAAAAATAAGTTTTCTTGCTGGCATTCTTGAACAGCTTTTCAGTAGCTCAGCTTCATGCAGCAAAATTCAAAAATGCATGTTTCATTTTAACCCAAGATGAAATGACTCACGGCTCTGGTGTGTAGAGAGGGTCCGAGCTGTGTCTGACATACTGAGTGCAGTGAAAGACTCTGAATGCTAATCCCGCCAAGAAGTCCCTGGGTGACAGATACCCAGCAACAGGACGGATGGTGAAACCTGTGCGCTCTAAAAAGGAACAGAATTGTATATTAGTTTAATGTAGAACTTTGTAATATTCTCATCCCTTCTGTAACTGGGGTAGATGCCACTGTGCTACTTAGGCTCAAGAGCATGTGGGAAAATTAGGCCTGACTAGAAACTTAGTCCTAAACTCAAGAATGGTGAGCGTGTAATGAAAACGTCCCTATCCCTGTATTGGATTTTATGCCTACAGCCAACACAATACAATTAGGTATTGCTTTAACCAATCCTGAGTTTCTTTATAGTTAGCATTTGCTCCCAGACATCCCTGTTTTTTGTATATCCAGGACATAGAATCATAGAATATCCTGAGTTGGAAGGGACCCTTAAGGATCATCAAGTCCAACTCTTGACACCGCACAGGTCTACCCAAAAGTTCGGACCATGTGACTAAGCGCACAGTCCAATCTCTTCTTAAACTCAGTCAGGCTCGGTGCAGTGACCACTTCCCTGGGGAGCCTGTTCCAGTGTGCAACCACTCTCTCTGTGAAGAACCCCCTCCTGATGTCAAGCCTAAACTTCCCCTGCCTCAGCTTAACCCCATTCCCGCGGGTCCTGTCGCTGGTGTTAATGGAGAAAACGATCATCAAGTCCAACTCCTGGCACCGCACTGGTCTACCCAAAACTTCAAACCACATGACTAAGAGCATAGTCCAAACGCTTCTTGAACTCTACAGGCGTGGTGCCATGACTACGGCCCTGGGGAGCCTGTTCCAGTGCATGACAACCCTCTTGCTGAACAATCTTTTCCTGATACGCAGCCTGAACCTCCCCTGTCACAGCTTGACTCCATTCCCTCTGGTCGTGTTGCTGGTCACTAAAGAGAAGAGATCAGTGCCTGCTCCTCCACTCGCCCTCCAGTTGGTAGGAAGACCATAATTAAATCAAGCAAATGTTTTGCTTTTTGGTTTCCCAGCCGAAAGTAGGTCACCAAGGATCATTTTTGGTGCCCATATAATAGCAGTGTGATTTGCAATGGACTTTAATTCCTTTTTTGTTTAAGAAGATTAATACATTACCTTTCAGGAAGCGGGACACATCTTCCAGCTGGGGAATATTGTCCTCCCTGTACCCACAGTATTTGGTGAGCAAGGGCAAGTTTTTAAGGTACTCTCTACAGGCATGAGTTGGGTAAAGCTTGTTAAGCTCTCGGTATACAGTCCCCCAGGTCTTGATCTCCTCCTCTGTGAATTCAATCTTGGGAATTGGGTCACCACTAAAAGGAGAAGAGGACAAAAGGACACGCCTTGATAAAAGGCTTATAAGGATGATTCATTTCCTTACTATAATTATTTAACATTCATATGGCTGTGACACTTGGTCAGGTTTAAGAGTTCACTACACTGCAAAATACACAGTGGTATCTGGTCTACACCCTGGAGAGCTTTCAGGCTAAGGGGCTTGCTCTCTTTTCCACCTAAATCAACTGATAGGAATCTTTACATTGACCTCACTGGGGTCTGAAAGCTTTGGTCTTGTGAACAGTTTCTTAGGTGTTTTAACACCAGAAGTAACATTTAAAATAACGGCAAAACCTTTAGTTTCAGGAGCTGAGAATGCATCCTTTTCCCTGTAGTATTTCCCCTATCTGTATACAATTCCTTTCCGTCATCTTTATTTGTTTTAGGAAAAGATAATTCCCTAAATTAGCAACACAAAGAGTGAATGTAGCTAAATATATGTTAGGTAAAAATCATGCTTCTATGCAGAGGAGACAAATGTCTGTCTGAACACAGTAATTGTAGTCCATCTATCCTAATTAGCCCTTAGGATCTTGATTAAAGTAGATTATGTCAAAGCTGTGATCTAAAGCCTGCTGAAAGCAACTTGAGTGTCAATATATTGCTTCTGCTGCCAGCTAGGTAACCAGCATGGCAGGTGCTTTCCGAAGGGAAACTTGACAACACACCAACAGTAACTGCCTGTGTGCCGGTGGCCAGCTGCATTAATGAACAGTGCAGCAGAGCTCTAGACACCCTGTGTTTCTGGGTCATTCCCTGTTGAGGAACTTGCCATCTAAATTCACACATGCAACAGCAACAAGAAAATCATGTTCAGAAAAAAATTATAGCACTGGGCTTGCAGCTTTAAGAGCTCCCTCCCCGAGGCAGCATCTCTAAGGAAAGAAGCTCTTTGAATGTCATTTCGCAGAAGACTTCTTATCTGCGCATCACATGCGCTACTTTAAACCAGGAAATAAAACTCAAGTATTAACATTTGCCTAGAGAGTTTATACTTAGTGGTCAATGGGTTCTATACTAACTTCTGTCTTCCCTCCCTCTTCATCACAAAGGAGACCCAAATGCCTTGGTGTAGTATGTATGTGCTGGCACAGGCAGCTGTGCAACGCATTGCCCACCCCCTTTTCTTGCTACACCCACTTCCAGAGAAGCAGGGAGCAAACCTAGGGCCTGAATGAACCACACTGCAGGAAGCCCACGCTGCCGCTGCTGCCCATCCAAGTCCAGTGCTGCCACAGATGCCACAACGGCTGCGCAGCCATGAGCTGATCCTCAGACTGATCAGAGACCCAGGAAGCTGTAAGATGGCCTAGATCCACCTTTTAATCTGCCTTCATTTCACCCCTCCAGCCCTGATTCCTGAGCCAAGTCTATCCCAGGGAGATCAGAGCCCAAGGATGTGAGCTCCTGCTAGTCCACTCTGCTATTATTTCAAAGCATTTGGGAAGCTTATTCTGGAACAAATTGAGCTTACTGTTTGTAGTTCATAGCCAGGTCTGCAAAATACTTTCGTCTCTTGCGATAGACATTGTCTTTGAAACCCTGAGGGAAGAAAAAGAAAACTTAAATGAGCTTTCAAGCAGTACCAAATAAATACATTTAAAACAAGACATCTGACATTTCTTCAATGGGAAATATAAAAAGTATGCTGTGTAAGAATGAGGGGACAGGACAGGAACTGTCATCTGAAACTTTTTTTTTTTTTTACTGTAAAATAAGTGAATACACCAATTCAAAGCAAAGATTAGAGGTTTTATGCATGCACAATATATATTCAATAGACAAAGATTGCTTTTAGTCATATCACTATTTACACAAAATTGATTACTTGTGTGATTATTCTAAATTACAGAATAAATTGGCCATTTGTACAGTGCAAGTACTATTTTGTTTTTCCACTTCTAGTAAGGAAGAAAGAAAGAGGAGGAACGAAGCCTGTCTAGCGACATCTTTTTTTTTTTTTTTTTTGTAGTATTTTTATGTAACCACTCAGGGCCCAGACCCAAAGTCCTCACATGAGTAAGCCTCGCAGAAAGGCATGGGAGCTAAACCCAGTGACAGCCTTGCCTGCCCTAGGAAAAGAAGCGAAACCCCCACGAGGTGTTCAGACCCACAGAGGCACTGCTGAGGGGAAGTAAAGGGAGGAGGAAAAGCTGCATTTTTTAAAAGCAAATTCCACAAGGTACTTTCCACTAAGGACTGGGCACAGGGAGAGGAAGATACTTACTGGATGGTCAGCATCCAGATCGGACCCATACATCAGCACTCGGTTTGCACACTTATCCAAATCTGAGATCTTCTTTGGAAACCAGGGAACATTCTCCATGTCTAGGGAACGCATGGAATCCACAAAGTTATTAATAACGGCGAGCGTGCTGAGGGAGGAAATGCTACTTTCAAGTATGGCTATGGTGGTTACAAGCAAAATCTATAAATTAAAAGGGTCATGAATAGGACAAGAGAGTCCACTGCCTATCTGGCACCAGCCTACAGCTCACACTTCCTCCTCCGTCACTGCCACTCTGCCCACAGAGCACAGCAGACTCCAAATCTTCCAAGGGAGGAAATAGTTAACACGGGGTTGCTACTTCTGTTAATGTTGGAGTAGCATCTAGAGGCTCCTGCTCAGCAAGGCCTCCTTGTGTGCAGTGCTACGCCAGTCTTCTAGGGCATAAAGCAGGCAAAGGAGCCAAGAATCCATTTGCTTGTGGTCCTTGGGCAGAGCAGGAGTAGGTTGGAGTCCTCCCATCCTGTTTTACTGACCCTGGGCAAGAGACAGTGCTCTGTGCTTACACATCCCAGAAAATTCAGGCTTTGCTGAGGGGTTTGCTGGGGAGTAGGAAGAGAAGGAGGCGATTTTAGCCCTGCAGCCTTAGAGATGCAAAATTAGTTTTATCACCGGCTTCTTTTTTTTTTTTTTTTTTTTTTAAAGCTTAAGAGCTTTTATGAAGCTCTTGCCAGAGCTGTTAACATACTACAACAACCAAAGGACTTCTTTCTCTCCCTATACTCTTTAGTTTTCTTAAAAATAACAGGAGAAGTATTTAGATTGAGATTTCTCCTAATTAGGGCTAGAATAAACATTTTTATCCAGAAGACACCATATCTCACGCCCCTCACCTACCAGACTGCGCCAATTGCAGTGACTGAGAAATACATGGGACTGACTTTGTGCTGCCCTGAATTTTGAGCATCTCTTGAACTAGGAGCAAAGGTAAACAGGATGTGAAGCATCCCAAAAGCGAAAGACACCTTTTCTTTCACACCAATATAAGTAAACATTTATGATGAAAAGTGGTTAAAAAAATAGTTTTAAAGTCAGGAGCTACATGAGGAAATTGCAAAAAACATCTCCCACTCTCTCCAGAACCTGAACTGAACTGGTGCCTGTCGGTATGACAGCTCTGTCACCGTGGTGCACAGGCCATAGCCCAGCTCTGCATTCAGGCTTTGCCTTTGCATTGGTCTCTGCTGGTGCAGGGACTGCCACTTGCAGTGGTTGTGATGTGCTGAGGAGGGATGGGAGCACAGAAAAACAAGCAGCCAGTATTTCTAGGGGACAACAGCCAATGCAGCCCCCATTCACATCAACCTCTCTACATTCACAGACAGCACAGAAGCACAAACTTGATAGCTACCCATGGAAAACACTACATGAATGCAGCTGTGAACATCTTAAGCAAACTTCAACACGCTGAGAAGTGCAATAATGTCTTTCTTTGAGCATTTTTACCAGAGCTGCCCTTCATGCTTACCGTCTTCCGGCACATTGAAATGTTCTGTTGGGTTCATAGAGACAATGTTGACATGGGATTTGAGCAGCTGGAAGATCTCATTCAGTTGTTCCCTGTTACTGTCACAGTCAACGAAGATCTCAAACTCGGAATTTCGTCTCTTGGATTTTCGTGACTCGATGTGCACCAGATTTACATGCTTCTCCTGTTTTGTAAGGAAGCAATGTTTTCAAACAGATTGACTAAAACTGATTGACTAAAAAAAAAAGTCATTATTCCAAAAAAAAAAATTCTGTTGCCACAGAATATTTACTAGCTATGAGAGTTTATTTTAGTTATCTGGATCTTCTGTTTGTTTATTGGTGGGGTAAGGAAATAGTTTGATTTTTAAAAGCTTCCCATTGAGAAGAAAATGAATGAATCTGTGTTCTTTTGGTTTCTTTTACACTGAGGAAGCAGAAAGAGACACAGTAAGGAGGTTTAAATTCCTTGACCTTTTTCTTTCATCTCTCCCATAAGGAGTTGATTAGCAACTTGGTCTGGGGAAGTTCATAAAGATGCCTGTCAAGTCTCCATATAATTATCTCACAAACAAGGGATTTAAAAACACTAGTTTTCCAGGCATAAGCCTCGCTTTTTATTTATTTATTTATTAATCATATGTCTTATATAAGAAGCATACAGTAACTCCTAGCCTAGACAAGCAGTGCCAGATGACAGAGCACAGTGACGCTGCCATGTTCCCTCCGGGATACCCACCCAGCAATCAGAGGAGTACCTCTGTCACCCTCAGTCCAGCCTGGCAGGGTAACAATAGCACTGAAGGCATCAGGTCAACACCCAAGTGTCTACCCACCATCAGCAGGTGCTTCAGTTCTGCTTCTTAAATGCTTTAGAAACAATAACAATCCCTTCATGGAGTAAAAAGAGGAATCTCTTCCAGTCTTCAGTAGGTGCAGGAAAGTTTGTGAAGACTTTAAGCCAGCATCTAATTTCTGAGGCATAAATTTACCTTCATGAATAATTCTGGGTGCTAAGTGGGAGTCATGTTAGGAATCACGCCCTTAATAAATGGGTGTGATTAATTCTAGTGTGTTCCAAAACTACATTTAAAATTCAAAAATATAGAGCTGCTATAGACATGAAATTATTACACACCTGGAAAAGTTTCAGGGCTTTCACAAGTCCTCCAACTTCATTCTTCAGGGAAAAAATTATGGCCGTTCTTCCTCTTTCAGATGCATGGTCTTTGTTTTCTTTATTATCTTCAATCATTGTGTAATTTGACTTAGTTAACTAAATGCAAATAAATTTTTTGAATGATTAGTAGTGCAAAGAGTATGAAGTTTGATAGTTCAGTTTGTCTTGGAGTAATATTGAACTTTGATCAACCACAAAAAGAAAGGTGCCAATTAAGTCACTCTATACCAACAGGCATAGAGTCAGGTTCACACAGAATCTGTGGGCTGAAGATGAAATTCAGAAGGGGTTTTGGTGTGTTGTTTTGTGTTTGTTTTTTTGTTTTTTTTTTTTTTTCTTTCAGTTGAAAGATTTTATAAAAGTTTTTAGTAGTTCTCTAGCATGCAAAAAATGTTTTCAAAGTATTGTTTATAACAGGTGTTGGTATTTTTAGGGAAAAAAAAAGGCAGGCTATAAGGTGTCAGCAGAAATAGTAAGTTGAAAAAAATACTTGTTAGCATATTTGATGACTATTGGTAAAGAGACTAATTCAAAATCCACTGGACATAGGTAGGAAAAGACAGATCATGCTTTTATAAATCAGAGCTGAAAAATCATTGACTTTCTTTCACTAAACAACCATAAAGCATTACTTTTATAGAGAAAGGAGTCAAAACCTAAAGAGTTGAAATGTTGTGCTGAACAGAATCTGTTGACTACAAACACAGTCCCACTCCAGCCAAATGTAACAGAGCTATTCTGTTAGTTCCCCTAATTCAAATGCCAAATCCTTACAATGAACACCCAACTCACACTGAAAATTCTCAGACATAGTTCTATATTGTAGGACCATGTAGTTTTGTAGACTACTAGTGATTCTTAGTTATATGTAGCCAGGCCATAAACATAAATAATATGGGAACAATTAAGAATGTAGAAAATGCAAAATAAAACAAACAAACAAGGGTTAGAAGCATAGGCTGTGTTATATGATTTATGCGTGTTATATGAGACACACATAACACATAAGACATGTGTGTTCAAACCTTGCAAAAATAAACAAAAAAAGGTTTCTGAAGGAGCCAGTGAAAGAGGAAGGAAGAAAAACAAAGGCATATTATTGCTACTTGGAATTATTTCTTGATTTGACACAGTATTTAAGATCTGGTTATCTGGTGCCGACTCACCTGGGAACGGAAAAAGCAACAATAAAAACACAGACAAAATGACGCAGTTCTGTTGATACCCTTCTACGTTATCTCCAACTTTTACTTGTTTAAAATGGTATCTACCTACTGTAGATTTGTTTAACAAAAAACACAGATTTTACATATCTTTTATCAAAAACATTCCCATTTATCTTTCAGATTAAGAAGGTAATCCGCCTAACAAAACAACTAAATTAGTTTCATTTTAAATGGAGGGATTTACAACAAGGTAAACATTTGAGTCTGCTCTATGGAAGGTCTTAAGGAAGTTATTGGCTGCAAGCTCTTTGGGGTGCAGAAGTGGTATCCCTTGGAAGAGGTCTCGTGATGCTAATGTATTATTGCTACCTTCACTGGGTTTCTGATGAGGTCCTTACCCCTAACAAGCTGTCACTATACAATGAGCTCAGGCAACAGTGTCCAGTGCACTGCTTCTGGTCCAGCAAAGCCACTGATCTCTCACAGCTTGAGTCCAGGTACCAAATTATCTGCTGAATGTGGTGCTGAGACCCAGCAGCCTACAGGTTTCACAGCTCGCTTTAGCAAGCATCTGTTCAGCATCACAAGAGCCAGGAATAGGCACCAAGCTGGGCTACTGTGAGCAGAAAAAACTAATAGCCCCCCAATCACATATAAGTTATTGGTTGTCTTCTCAAGTGCAGAGATTGCTATTTGAGTAAACCAAACCCCACTCAGATGATACTGCTGTAGAAGCAAAAAAGTCTGCATTATGAACACATGGTGGTCTTTGAAGGCATAAACCATCAGACTGTTTTTTTATATAAGGTTTATACACAGCACGTTGGCTTGATTCCACATTCAGGATCACTGACTTAAGATCAGCTTAAGAGATTTGGTACAGTTGCAGGCAATATTATAAGGTGCACAGCTTGGAAAAATTACACATATTGAAGACTAATCTTGTAGTTCTGATCTTGTATTTTTGCTTGTTCAACTAACCTTGTATTCAGGACTGAGCAATATTATTGATAAAGCAATATTTTTAAGAACCAACAAAGAAAGCACAAAAAATGCAGTGTATTTTTACATTAAATTCTAAAAATGACCACTACGATGAATTTGGAAAAGTTGCAGAGGGTAGATTCAGATGCCTACAATGCCAAACGCACATCATTTGCATCTGTAGTCCTACACTAATATTAATTTCCATCTTTCAATACAAAAATAGACTGGCAACAGGTATGTGTTAACACCACCACCTTATTGGTACAGGACAAGGGAAAATGATAATGCAAAAATAATTCCTCTCCTCCAACAGCTGCACCTCCTGTTTCATTGTTTTCTGCACCAGTAACTCAGCTCTAATTGTATCTGATGCTTTTCCTTTATGGCATCACATTGAAGCTTTTTGGATTTGGTGGGTAGGAATCATTATTGCTAAAACTAACTTGTCATCAACCTGAGTTAAATCTTAATGAAAATACTCCAACAGGAGGAGTGCTCTAAAGCTTTTACTCAGACAGCGATCTGAGTGTCTTCTGGTTAAAAGACAGCTTCTGGAGTCCGCAGCAATCACCTTCCCTTTCTCTCCCCTCTCCACACTGAAGTACTCTCTGTGGAATAGATATTTAGCACTTATATGTTGTGCTTCAGTTCTCTGTATTAGCAGATAGTCTACGTTCAAAATCATCCAAACATACTTTTTTTTAAAGGAAATTACATTTTAGAGCTGTAAGCTGAAGCCCAAAACCTCCTAAGCACATATTTGACACAGATTGTTGTTATTTGTACCTGAGAAAAAGCGTCAAGAGGCACTTTGCAGCCTCCTGCCTCCCTTCCTGAGCAGCTGGTTACTTTCTCGCTGTCCTTTTCCCACACGTGCGAACAGGGCAGGACGAAGACACGCTGTGGGAAGTGACCACGACTCGAGGTCACCTCACCGGGCAGGTTTCCACACGCCAGGGGTGCTCCTGGCCCCGCTGTTCCCGAAGAGACTCAAGCCCGTGCCGCGTTGAGGGGACCGGCGAGGCAATTTCACGCGTAACCTCGCTCCCTTAAATCCTGCTGCTTTTTGCAAGAAAGCCTACCGGCACGTTAAACCGCCCGGTGCCACTGCCTGCAGCCAGCAAATCGGCACTTACCTGGTGATTTTATCCCACACTCTCCGGCACTCAGAACCCGCTCAGAGCGCAACCTGCAGTGCCTGGCGGCTGCTCCCGACCCGCACCTTGCCGCTCTCCTCAGCCCACCAGTTCCTCAGCTCTGCCTCAGCTCCCGCTAGAGATTTGGGCTTCCCCGGCCCCCCGAGCCCCTCACCTGGCCACCGGCCTCCCGCGGGCACGGCGCCGCCTCCAGCGAGCCCCCGCGGCGGGGCAAGGCCTGCATGGCCCGGCGGGACGGAACGGGACACGACGGGACGGGATGGGATGGGACGGCACCGGCCCTGCTTTATGGAGGGGGCGAGAGCCGGCCCTAACCCCCCCGGGTGGGGGAGGAGAGGACGAGGAGGAGGAGGAGGCGGGAGGAAGGCGGCGGGCAGCGGCTGAGGAGAGGCTGGAGGCTGCCCACGGTGCGGGTTCTCCTCCCTCCGCCCTCCTCAGCCTGCCTGAGGACGGCAGAGGTGCGGGCTCAGCTGCTGTGGAGCTCCCCGAAACGCAGCGCTAAGGGAAGGGGGGGGTTCGGCAGAGGCTGAAACTCGCCCCCGGTCCCTCAGTCTGTGGGGGTTTGTGTGGGGCACGGGGCTGAGCCAGCACATCCCGGGCTTCTGTTACGCTACTTAAAAACCGGACTTTCAAAGAAAGGTTCAAAGTCAGCAACAACCGTTTTCCCCCTAGTTTACTCAAGTGACTGAACCAACTTCAGTGTTTTTCTCTTCAGTGCCTAAAACCCTGAAATCCTGGGTGAAGCTAGAGCTTCTCTGACACCGGTGTAAAGCACTTGACAAACTGCACTGATGAGGCTGACACCAAACTGTATCAGACACCGTGGTACTTGCACAGACACCTTCAGTGCCTGCACCTGAGCTGGAGGAACCCCTGCTGGGAGCCCACATGGCCATCAGGGGCCAACATGGCTAGTGGGACCACAGCAGGACTTCAGCTCCTCCCAGCATAACATGCACCGACCCTCAAGCAGCCCTAGTAGAGCTGAGGGTGAGCAGCTCTGCCCTCCAAACATACGTTGGACTGGAAGAGAATGCCTACATGTATAAGACAAAGCAAAACTGGAACAGCCAACTCATTCCAGTTTGCAAATGGGATTCATTTTGGGACCAGATACTTCAATTTTCCCTTTCATAAAGAAAACGCTATTTATTCACTATATGGCTTAGGTCTACAACAGACATTTCACTTCCTTCTGGCAGAACAGATCTCCCCATCAAACACACTGACTCAAAAAGCAAACAATTCATATTATCTTTACGCAGAATCTTAAACATACGAGAGCCTGATATCAATAATCAACGTGTAAACACATGCACAATAAGATATTTACGATACCATGACTAATCTGTCAGTTCTCCCTAGCTCATCAAACACCACAGCAAGAACTAGCATGCCATTCCGCATGCGATTTTTTTGGAATTGCACACCAGGTAGCTCTCTGAAGCTCTTTGGTTGCAGGTAAGCATCTTTTATTTGGTGATCTCCTGGGCTCAGGCTGGGTTTCCAGTGCTACCTGATGGCAGCCAGGTTCAAACTCCCCTTCTCTTTATTTTTTTTGTCAAAGCGTTGAGTTCATCCCTTATAAAATTCTAAAGAGACAACTGATGGCTTTAGCTGTAAATGATTTTTATTATTTTTAATCAAATCTGCTTTTCCCTCTCCTTCAAACACTATGAGCTTTCACTAGATACAGCAAAAAGACCAGTTTACCCTTGGTGTATCCACTTGGACTATTCTGGTGTTACAGGACATAGCCGTCCTTCCCTACAGCCCATGCTTGTCAAGATGCTCAGAGAAACGCCAGTGATACAAACACTTCTGAAAACCTGCTTTGGTGCCTGCCTCCACCTGCAGCTGCCCAAACACTTGAGAACCTCTCTCCCCCCAGGGAAGGAGAAGCAGTGGGTTGGTTCCCACCTGTAGGTACCTGAAGACACGAAGCACATGGAAGGGCACAGGACAGTCCAAGGGGACACAACGCAGATGGCAAGGCTGAACTCAACAGAAGCACACAAGCTTCAAGGCATGTAAGAGCCATGGAGGGGATATAACCTGAGCTTCCAGCTCCGCCAGGTTTAAGGGCAGTTCCTACCTCCAAGGCTCCAGTCTGACAGAGAGGAGCATACCTGCATCATCCTGTCATCTCCAATTTGATCAGGAGCTTTCTGGGACACTGGCCATCCTTCCCCTCATACCTAACTCTGCAGAGTCTGTGGTCAGCTTTGTCTCTAACTGCTCCTACAATGCAAAGCAGTACACTAACAGCCGAGGAAATTTAACACATGAAAATAACTAATTACATGAAGAGATAATGTGGGTGCTCAGAATCTTGGGGAACTGATTAAACCTAATTCACTGGTTTAGTGCTTGCTCACCACAGCCAATGTCTGCCATCTGAAAGGGCAGAACCACAGAGCATGAACTGACTCAATTACAGCTTGCCTTCACTGGGTGCTCACTGGAGCCTGCTCTGCTCCTCTCCATGCAGGGTTGGTTTCCAGCTCCTCTGAACGTGCAGGTTGTTTGGTAGAACTATTTAAAAGGTTTCACCCAAAAGCTGGATCTTCATGGTTTTAAGGTGGCAAGTTTTCAGAAAACTATCGCTGTGTTACAAGCAGAACTGCTTCTTTGGGTTTTCACAAACAACAGGACACTTTACCTTCTCCCAAAAGCTGGCAGCATAATCTGCCATTTAAGAACAGCAGCTTTGGCCCTCCTCACAGAGAAGGGCAATATGGCAAAGCAAAGCTACCAGCTGTCGAGTGTGGAGTGCAACGCAAAGAGGTTAGCCATGTGTGAAGGTGCTGTTCCTGGGAGGAGACAGCACAGGTAAAGAGCAACCCAGAAAACATTGGCACAGATCTGGTCTGTGGGAGCACTGGAGCAGAGGGAGGCCAGAATTTTTCAGCAGGATGTCGGGAAGTCTCAAGGGACACCGCAGTGGGAAGGAGCTGTGAAGGACAGAGATAGCCTGGGGCACAGGCACTGTAGGGAAACAGCCCTCTCCTCATATTGCCTTGCCTCTTTGTGAGATGGTGATTACTTTTTTTTCTTAAAAAAAGCCCACAGGAGATTTCTCACATATAGCCTCTCATACAGACAAAGCCCTCCAGACAGATAAGCAGGCATCTGAGGATCAAGTACAGGTCTGACCCTGCTCAAAAGTAGGTCAAGCTGATCATGTTTTGCAAGGCAATGTTTTACCCAGCATGGCTGCTGTGAAACCTGTTACATTGGCACCAAGCAATTGTGCTAACACTTACAACGAAGGCTACACAAGCTGGCTTTCAATTACATTATCCCCTCATAATTCCTCCTGTTAAATTAATCCTCCTTTTCTCAGCAGCATGCAGCTCTAAGTGAGACGTCCCTTGATTTCCAGGTCCTTCACAGCTCCAGGACCATCAAGTGGCTCCAAAAGAGGCCGTGACTCTGTTCCTGCTGCCAGGCTGCTAACCTAGGGGTGGCTTCTCTCTCCTCCAGGATCTGGTGGGATTCCATTTTGTTTTTCAAAGAGCAGAGCTTGCAACCAGACACTGGTGCTGATGCTGCACATACCCATTTGTAGGTAATTGCACTGCAAATGTTTAGGTTGACAAGTATTAAGAACCGTCACAGCTCCAGACCTTCACCTCAGTAGAGGGACAAACAGTAAAGAGATTTTTTTTTCCTGTCTGTGAAACAGACCAACGTAAGCCTTCTGCCCTACATCTCTTTTCTTCCCATCATGAGAAAGGCTGCTCTCCATGGGGCACAGCTAAAAGAAGTAGGGACTCAATTAACCTGCTACATCTTACCAGACACAGCACAAGTCCTGTATTCACCAGCCTTGTGAGGAAGCTGGTCTGTGGGGGGTTAAAAAAAAAAAAAGGAAAAAGAAAGAAAAGAAAGAAACAATGTAGTAAAGAAGTTCTCAAGTTTTCCAGTTCCTAAGTGCTAGGGAAAAGAGAGACAGAGCCAGAGGGTGATTTTGTTCAACAAAACCACAGCTTGCCACAACTCATGAGGCAAGAGCCAAGGAAAGGCAGAAGGGGAATGATCTGCAGAGATATTCATCTTCTGCTGAAAGATGAGATTAACTGCCTGAACGCTGCAGGACTGAAGGAGAGAATCAGTGAGCCCTAAAGTCTTCTCAATCCCATCAAGGTCACCAGTGTGAATTACCCCTTCTTCCTGCCTGGTAGGAGAAAGTGCTCTAATCTCCAGCACAGAAATTTCACATCGCTGCTGGAATAGAAACCTCTTCAGACATCCTCTGGGCTTCACTGGCCCAGCCCTTCCCTTCCTAACCAGCAGCAGTTTCTTGAGGCTATGTAGCCACTTTATACCTTTTTTTTTTTTTTCCCTGAAGAAGTTACCAAGTGTTACATCCCTGAACAAACCAGGTTTAATACGATTTGATACTAAGTCTGCCCTAATCATAATTACCACTCCAGAACAGACTACTGCAAATGCTAACTGCAGCCCTCTGCCTTTCTGTTAATTAACTGCTGCAGACAAACTATGTCTGAGAATCACATGGCATTTAGGCAAGCACTGTGGAAGCTGCACAGTAGAGTGAAGATGAGATAGTGTGAAATGATTTAAGATGTCTTACTTTTGCCAGAACTAATACCATACGGACAGAGTTATGACAGGTCATATCCTGAAGATATCCTAGGTCATATCCTGAAGATGACCACTGGTCAGGTTCTTTTGCAGAGCAGCTTTTACAGATTTTCCTCATATTCTGCTTGCATTTTATGGATGCCCTGATGCCTAAAACCCTCTTGTCTGAAAATCTGACAAATTTTCACATATTTGTTTTTAATATTTATAAGGCATTGATTGTAACACCTAAGCAACATCATTTACTTCCATTCACTTTCTAATCTGCACTTTCTCATCCTTTGACTTCCCTCTCTTGGAGGAGATAACCTACAATTATGCTGTTTTAGCTCATTTACCTAACAGGGAGTTAAACAGCTGCAAATGCAAGAGCTTTTCAAATTTTCTGAAAAAGTACAGACCCAAAAGCACCAGATTTCAAATGGAGAATTCTATTTTTCCCCTTCTTTTGTGAACCACCATTCTTCCAACAGACACTTACTCAACCGTTCACCAGCATGAGGCTACAACAGCATCATGCACTGTACTCTGAGCAAGTGCAGAGGAGCATCTGATGCATTGGTGCAATAACTCAGCTACTAGGCAGGGTTCAGCCATCAGTTAACTCTTCTTACCACATTGTTGTTGAATAACGAACCATTTGATTCATAAGCAGTTAAAAAGCAACAAAAGAAGGGGGATTACATCCAGAAAC